CCCCCAGTAGCACACACATACAAAATCTACCAAACATCTAGAGAAAAAAAAACAATATATTACAAAACGTTTCCAGGTAGTAGAAAACAAGAGATCATTCTTGTAATCTGGTGAAGTGCTGCATGTTACCTAGATAATGACATAAATACATTATTAAAAGGAACCTATTGGCCTACCTTTCTCAAGAACGTAAGTGCAAATGATCTGTGTTAATCAGCTTTAACTACTGCAGCAAAATACCTGAGATAGTCAACCTAAAAAGAGAAAAGGATTTACGCCAGCTCACAGCATCATAGGCTTCAGTCTGCTTTTGGGTCAGTGGCCAGGCAGCACATCATGGCAGCGCAAGTTGCTCACTTCCTGGTGGCTGGGAAGCAAACAGAGAGAGGGAGGCCCTGGGGTCCCACAGTTTCCTTCAGGACACACCTCCAATGACCTAACTTCCTTCCATTAGATTCCGCTTCTTAAAGGTTCCACCACTGTTCAGTTATGCCAAACTGAGAACCAGATAGTGAACCCATGTGCCTTTTGGGGGCTTCCTAGATCCAAACTATAGCACCACACTAAGACAATATTTGAAAAGTGACCTTAGTAATAAAACAAACATAGGGGGAAAAGAAAAGGACATTATATCCTCGCCATATAAGATTTATTCCAGAAGAGCAATTATTTTGATAGCAGAAGAATCAACTAATAAAATTTACTACAGTAACACAAAGGAAAATCACATGACCCACTTCATAAATGCAGAAAACAGTTTTATAAAATAGAATGTCCAGTTATTAATAACTGCTGGCAAGCTTCTTTACTCTGATCAAAAGTATCTATAAACTTTTTTTAATCAGTACCGGGGATCGAACTCACGACCGCCTGCTTGCAAGGCAGGTGCTTATGCCGCTGAGCTAAATCCCCAGCCCTTAAAATTTTTACATTAAAAATATACTTAGAAGAGAATTATATTGATTTGCTGCGTCATCAGGATAAAGATAAGATTCCTTACGATGGTTCTAGGTATAGCAGAAAGGTAAGCAAAACAAAAGAAGTAAAACTGAAATTACTTGCCGATGATGTTATGAAGTGCCTAGAATAACACATACAGAAACTGAAAGTTAATGCGATTTGTGATAGTATAAAAATATCAAGTACGAGCTGGACATAGTGGCAAATGCCTGTAATTCCAGTACTGGGCAGGCTGAGGCAGGAAGATTGCTGTGAGCTCAAGGCCAAACTGGGCTACATAGTGAGTCTAAGGCCAGCCTGAACTACATAGTGAGAATGCATCTCAAAAAACAAAAACAAACAAATAAAAAAAATCAGGTACTCAGGAAGAATTTTTTAAAATAAAAGTATAAACTGTCTTGTGGAAAACTATTAAATATTACTTAGAGAAGTTTTTATTTGAAAACTAAGTAAATAGGATATATATATATATATATATATATATATATATATATATATCATGTTGCAGAATTGGAAGGTTCAACAGTGTAGAGATGTAAATAAAACCCAGATTCATCTTCACATTCCACACCATCATCATCTAGATCCCCAAGATGTTTCTGTCGGTTTGTTGTGGAACTTGACAAATCAATACTAAAATTGTATGAAAATTCAAAGGATCAAGAAGGATCAGGAAGTTCAAGGGACATTGACTTGCTGTACTGCATAGTAAGAAGGCTCAGTGATTGAGGGGCCAGGGATGCAGCTCAGTGGCGCAGTGCCTGCCTGGAGGTCATGAGTTTGATCTCCAGTACGGAAAAAAAAGGACAGTGATTGAAACAGTATAAAATTGGCAAACATATATGAAACAAAGGGTCCATGAACAAACACATCTTTGCAAATACAGACACTTGATGCAAGACAAAGACAACTTTCAGGATACAGGAGAAACGGTGTTATTTTCAACAAATGGAACAGGAAAAAATGGACACCTATATTTAGTAAGGAAACCAGATGTCTGCCTCATCATATAGAGTAGTAAATTTTTTTTTAAGAAGCTCTCGCTGTGTAGTCCAGGTTGGCCTTGAACTCACTATGAAGCTCAGGCTGTCCTCAAATTCGCAATAATCCTCCTGCCTCCGCCTCCTGAGTGCTGAGATTATAGGTGTTCATCACCACACCTGGCAGAGCAATAGATTCTAGGTAAAGTAGGTAGTAGAATATGAAACGTTAAACAGTCCAGCATTACAAGGGAACATCCAGGGTGTCTTTATGACCGTGGGGGTCAGGAAACATTTTTTAAAAACAGTTTGCAAAAAAGACTAACTGTAAAAAGAAAATATTACTAAATATGAGCACATTAAAACTAAGATTTTTCTCTTCATTAAAAGACATCATTATCAGAGGGGAAAGGTGGGGAAGGATATTGACAATTCATGTATCTGACAAAAAGCTATTGATATATAAAGAACTCCTAGAAATGAATAAGCAAAGGACAGAAAAGCACGGTAGAAAAGCAGGTCAGAGATTTGAGCAAGCTTTTCAACAGGGTGCAAATAAGTGTGCAGAGGGCTCAATCTTATTAATAAGCAAAGAAATAGAAATTAAGGCCACAAAGAGATATCATTACATAGCCATGTAAGAGTGACAATACTAAGTTGTTGTAAGGAACAGCAATAGAAACTTTCATACACTGCTGGTGGGAGTGTGACATATAATACTTTCAAAAAGAGTTTGGCATTATTTACCGAAGTTAAGGTTATGCATAATATTGTGAAGCAGAAAATTCCTCTCCATGATTTACGCCGGCCAGAACCACACACACACATGTGAGACCACTCAGGGCAGCACATATTCATTAACAACAGAAAGGACAGGCGTGTGCCGATGCATTCACTCAACTGCGTGCTACTGCACAGCAATGAAAATGAACCCACTACAGCTTCCGCCCAATGACTTGGTAGAGGCTTAGAGCTGTGACAATGGGTGAGTGATGCAGACACACACTTGTGTGTAATCCCATTGGTGTGTGACTAGAGGCCAGGCAGGAGTGAATGCGTGAGGCAGGGCTAGTTACTTAACTGTAATGAGAAAAGCTAGGGAAGTTAGGCTGTGGTTTCCTTTACTAGGGAGAAAGTGAGTGAGATTGGGGGGGATATATTGGGTGCTTCTGAGGTGCCGGCGTGGTTCTAGTTCTCGATTCAGGTCATCACTTCTTGTTTCATGAGAACTCACTATAACTGCGCGTTCATGCTTTAGTGATTTATGCACTCTTGGGGATTGAACCCAGGGCCTTTGTACTGAGCTACAACTCCAGTGTTACCCATCCCTAAGTTGCAGGGGCTGGATTCAAACTTGCAGTGGCCGGATTTGAACTTGCATTCCTCCTGCCAGGGTGTCCTAGAGGACTGGAATTACAGGCGTGCACCACAATGCCTGGCTGTTATTTATTTATTTTCAACAGCTTTACTGCGATCTACTTCACATGCCATATGGTTCACTTATGTAAAGTGTGCCATTCCATGGTTCTGGTAAATTATTATTAATCTTCTTTGAATTAGAAATTTATATATATATAACATAAAATTTACCACTTGAATCATTTTTCATCACGCAATTTAGTGGCATTGAGTACATTCATAATACTGTATAAGCATTATCTCTCTTCTTCCAAAACTTTTTTTTAAAAATCACCTTAAAGAGAAACTCTATACCATTAAATCCCCATTTCATATAAGTGGAATCATACAATATTTGTTCCTTTGTGTCTGGAGGTAATTTGTTCCCGTGCTTGTCCTCCTCCAATCTTCCTTCTCTCTCTTCCTCTTTCTCCCTGTCCTCCTTCCTCCCCCCCTTCCTCTTCTTCCTCCTCCTCTTCAAATTCTTTTAGCATTTTTTTTTAGATAATCTTTTAGCATTTTGAGACAGGGTCTTACTAAGTCACTAAGTTGTCCAGGCTGTTTTTGAACTTTCAACCCTCCTGCCTCAGCCTCGAAGAGTGCCAGGATTATGGGCATGTGTCTGGCTCCTTCCACTCAACATAGTATCTTTAATAATGCTGTGGCATGTATGAGAATTTCATTCCTTGTGTGACTGAACAATATTCCATGGTACAGATTTTGTGTGTTTACCCATTCATTTTTTTGTGGGCACTTGGACTGTTTTCACCTTTGAGTTATTGTGAAGAGCATTGCTGTGCATGTCGAGGTACAATGTTGCTTTCTGTATCTGAATCCTTGCTTTCAGTTCCCTTGGGTACATATCCAGGCATGGGATTGCTGCCACATGAATCCATTCATGTTTTCATCATTTTGCTACGTGGGTTAGGTTCTGCAATGAAAAGAGGGTGGCAAGAAGAGAGGCAGCAAGTATAGATGATTCTTTTGAATATTTTATTCCACAGAAAGCAGGGAAATGGGGCAGTAGTTGCTAAAGAAAGATTTTAAAGATGGGAGAAATCAGAGATACAAATGAGTGATGAGGAATAATTAACAGTATGGGAGAAAGGAGAGAATTACTGGAACCCATCCTTGTGTGGGTGAGGGGTGATGTCAGCCTGAGCTAGGAGCAGGGGACAGTTCACCCCAAGAGGCACGTGGGAAGGCGCGTTGCTGGATGTATGTGGTGATGAAGGTGGCTGAAGTCACTTCCGATGGCTTCATTTTGTTGGGTGAGCCAGGAAGCAAAGCTGTCTGTAAGGAAGGAGGGGGAAGAGGATGAGGAGGTGTTGGAGGTGTCAGAGTGTGGAGGAGGTAGAAAGTGGTCACCTAGGAGACGGTCACCTAGGAGAGCGGCCAGGAGATTGGACTGGGAAAATATAGACTGGCGGCTTTGCACCATTTAGGGTGCAAACGAGGGTCACGGCCATTCGCTGAAACTTGGCCCGCCGGCTCTTCCTCACTTGGGCGCAGGCAGTGGAAAGGGCCGTGGGTTTGGTTGGCCAAGAGTGCAGGAAGCCAGCGAGGTGAGAGCTGCCGGTGTCTGCCAGGGAGCGATGGGAATGACTCATCGTGGTATTTCAGTTGTGTAAGCAGGGGACAGAGGACAGCAGGAGGAGGAGTGACAGTGAAAAGACACCGGAAGTCCTAGCACAATGAGAGACTTGAGTACGTGAGCTAACAAGCAGGGACACAGGACATGGAGTTGAAGGAGGAGCAGCGGGGATCTGTTGTGAGCTCCGAGGTTGAGCCCTGGAGGTGCGTGGCTGAGGGACAATGGGAACACATCAGGGGAGGAAAGGGGCCCTCACCTGGCATGGGCTTGGCTCCCGCTTGGATGAATTCCAGCTTTCCCAGATGTCCTGGCCACTATCAGCAGGGGTCAAGGGAAGAAGTCCTGAGTACTTTGCCCTCTCCTGACTGGGGTCAAAGGGGCTCTGGGCTGGGACAAAGGTCACGTCTTCCCAAGCCTGCGGCTTAGCGCTTCACAGGAATCAAGAGGGCCCATTAGAGGTCAGATATTTACTGAGTGACTACTAGAAGCCAAGGCAGAACAACTTACTGTTTACTTTCTCTGCTTTTTCTGATCTTCTTCAGTCTTTTGAAGATCTCTGCGAGGAAGTGCTGCCCATTGGCCCATTTTACGAATGAGCAAAGGAAGACTGAAGCTCTATGGCTGATCTGCCAGTTCCGGAATCTAAACCCTTAAACATAGTGCTTCCCATGGGGTGGTGCAATCTGAGATAAACCAGATCCGGCCCCTGACTTCAGGCATGTAAACAAATAATTGAACTCTGCTTGGCAGGGCAGTTTCTTCTTTGGTTCTGGTTCCCTCCCCCTACTTCCGGACCCCAGGCTCTCCCTGTTCCCCAGAGCTGGAGTAACCAAACATACAAGGGACATGCGCACTAGGCACTAATGTCAGCAAAGTCCTGGACGAGTAGATGGAGGGGTTGGACTGCTCCTTTCCTGTTCTTTTCCCCTCACTCTCCTTTACTGTATTATTTTTGCTCATTTTGGGCACACCATTGGTTTTTCCTCTGCTGCTTCGCACGGTATTATGAATCCTTTCTAGGGATCCTCAGAACCCTGGTTGGAGGAGAATAGAGACTAGAGACTGCACTATGAGTTTAGAGAGCATGTTTCATGATGAGAGCCTCAGATTTTGGGTGCTCATGATCAAACTGCACATCACCCCAAAACAGACACATTAGTCCCACTAATGAGCTAGAATATTCTGGTCATGGCTGCCACCGGGAAGAAAGAAAAGGACAGTCCCTCACATACATTCCCATTTCATTCACTGAGTGGTAGGTTCATTTGTTCATCAAATTCTTATTGAGTACCTGCTATGTCCCAAGTTCTGTTCTAGGCAGCAATGAACAAGGCAAGTAGAATCTTTGCCATCGTGGATTTATGCTTCCTGGTTTTGCAGTAGGGGAAAGAAAGTGGGCTCAACTCCAAATACAGCATGAGTACATGGGGATTCATAACCAGTGAGGGACAATGGACAGAAAACAACTACAAAAAAATCAGGATGTCGCGGTTAGTATCTAGATGTTCCCCAAAGCCTCATGGGCTCAGAGACTGGGGCTTTTGGAAGGTGATTGGCTGTTGGGAGGAAGCAAGAGGTGGTCGCTGGGGTCCCTTTTCCCACTCCTCCCTATACAGTCTGCTTCCTGGCTGCCATGATGTGAGCAGTTCTGCTGTACCTGGCCCTTGCTGACCATAGGAGGACTGAAACTTCTAAAATGTGGTCCTAAATAAACCTCTCCTGCTTTAAACTATAGGTTTCAGGTATTTTGTCCCAGCTGCAAGAAAGTGACTGAGACAAAGGCTAAGGAGCATTCAGGCTAAACTGACCTAACAGAATTCTAGCATCATCCCATCACACACTGAGAGTTATAGGATATCCAGAGCAGGCAGCTCTTTTTGGTTATTTTGTTTTGCAGTGCTAGAGATTTAATCCAGGGCCTCATATATGCAAGGCAAGTGCCGAATAGTGAATCATACCCCCAACTCCAAGGGTGGGGAATCTTACTATATCTTAGGTATTCAGCTTAATAAGCAAGTAGACAGATGGGCCTATGAGAGGGTTCAGGACACCAACCAACATTTGGTCAGTTGAGAACCTTTCTAGGGGTTCTCTGTTGTTTCCAGACCACCTGCATCACCAGGAACTTGTTAGAAATGCAGATTCTCAGGCCTGCTGGATCCCAAGGCTAGCTCTTAAAGGGGGTAGGAGCAACTCTGAAGCCATTCAAGTGTGAGAAACACTGTGGTAAGTCAGAATAGGAATAAGTCCTTCGGAAATGACGTGCTGATCTCTGTCCTGCCTCAGGAGCCTGGGGAGTGGGACTCAGGACTGCTCCCTGTCAGTCTGGCCTCCCAAAGGCACCCACCCCCTGCCTCTTCCCTGGCAGCAAGATGTAGCCATCTGTGGCTCTCCCAGCTCCCCAGGATGTTCTCCAGCTGGTAGTGTGCACAAGAAGCCCCTGGATATCTTGCTAAAGCACAGAGTGCCACAGCCACCCAGAGAGTGAGTGATCCCAAGGCTGAGGGTTGGAGAAGGTCCATTTCTAGCAAGGTAATGCTGGGTCTTGGACCACATGATGGGGACCACTGGCTACCTCAGGATGGGTAAAGCCGGATGAAGGATGCTGGGAGGAAGTGCTGCTTCTGGTCTGTGTGGCATCAAGCACAGGATAGCTGGCTCCAACTCTGTGTGTCCACTGTTTCATTCCACTCCATCTGTGCAGGAGGGCTGAGGTCACTAAGCTAAGCTAAGCTGTACCATAGGTCTCCCTCAGAGAAAGCAAGAATTATCTCCCTCCAGGAGAGTATCTCCCCCCAGGGTCCTCTGGGTGGCCTGCGGGACTACCCCATGGACACCCTCCACCTCCATTCCTGGCCCTGACTGCCTTGCTGGCATTATCTTAGAAGAAAATACTTGGTTATACAATTTTATTCTGCTTCCTCTGGTTTCTAGGCTCGCCTAGAATGGAGGGCGTTGAGGGGCGAGGGAGCCAGGGCGACTAGCAATGTTGGTTGAGGTTTTCAGTTGACCTAGATCCACTCATTCATTCATTCAGCATTCATTTCCTTTAACAAATATTCATGCCAGCTCAGAGAGGACAGGATTTTGTCTATTTTGTTCACTACTCTATGCCTAGTATTTGACACATGATAGGTGTGTGCCCAACAAGTGTTATAAGTGACAGCAGGCCAATTGTGAGCTAGTCTTTCTACTGGGCAAGGAAGATAGCCTCTATTAGTCAGCTTCACCTTACTATAAGAACATACTTGAGGCAGTTAACTTATAAAGAAAAAAGAGTTATTTTGCCTTATGGTTCTGAAGGTTCCAGTCCAATATTGAGGGGCTCCATTGCTTTGGGTCTCTGGCAGGAACACCATGTCATGGTGGAAGCACATGGTGGAACAAACTACTTATGTCACGAGCCAGGAAGCAGAAAAAGACTGAGATGGTAGAGTCTCACAGTTCCCTTCTGGGGTGCACCCTAGTGATCTAATGATCTTGCCACTAGGCCCTGCCTTGTGAAGGTTCCACTATGTCCCAATTGTGCCAATCTGGGGCCCAAACCTTTAACACATGGGCTTTCTAAACTGTAGCACAGCCCCAGCTGTCAAAAACTGTGAGCTGGGTGTGGTGGTACATGTTTGTAATCCCAGCACTTGGCAGGCTGAGGCAGGAGGATCATCACTATGAGTTCAGGGCCAGTCTTGGCTACATAGTGAGTTCAAGGTCAGCCTGATTATATCGTGAGACCTTGTCTCAAAAAATAAAATAAATTTTTAAAAAGAGCTCTGAGCTTTGTACCAGGGGCAAAACACACTAAGCCAGCAACTGTTGCTTGTGTGAGCAGCGTGGTGCCAGCCAGGGGCCTGGGAGAGTGGTTTCCAGAAGCTCTGTTCCAGGTTGTGGGGCACCAAGCAAGGGCGTGTTCCCAGGGGAAGCAGGTCTCAGCTGGGGCCTGGAAGAGGAGTGGCAGACAGTGGGAAGCCGGAACAAGGATGTTCCAAGCTGATTCTCAGACATGGGTGGGATGAGTGACAGACTCGCTTGTGTCCCTTGCACTGGATGACATAAAACACTACCAGGGAAGATGAAGTCCCTTTGAGCTCTTTTCCTGAGTGGGTTCCCTTCTCTATGCCAGAGGTAACCACCTTACGGGACACTGCAGTGCACCATTCCTGTACATGGCTTTACATTTTTCTGACATAGCTGTGGATCACTATGTAAAACATGGGCACGTTAAACATTGTTTTGTCTCTCTGTTATCTCACCATATTTCCTCTGCTGCTGCCTCTATCTTAGCTGAGCAGTGTTTGTTTGTAAGACACTGTTAATTCCTGGGTCCTCACCTCACCACTGACCCAGATGTTGGAACCGCCCTGCTCAATGGCACCACGATGCCTGTCTGTTCTGCTGAACTCCTTCCTTGGGTATCTCATCAGAGTCTCAAGCCAGTCCTCTGAGGTAAGTACAATTAGCCCCAGCCTCCCTTGGGGATCAGTACCAAGATGCCCCTCCCCATACCTGCAGATTCCCAAATCCCCAGATGCTCAAGTCTCTTACACAAAATGGTGCAGTACAGTGTTTGGGTAAAACCTATGCACATCTTCTTGGATGCTTTAAATCACCTCTAGGTGATTTATGATGCCTCATACAATGTAAATGCTATGGAAATAGTTGTTATACTGCATTGTTTAGGGAATAACAACAAGAAAAATGTCTGTACATGTTCAGTGCAGTTGTAATTTTGTTCGGAAGAGTTTGGAACTGTGGTTGGCTGAATCGCCCATGCAAGGCCTGTGGAGTGAGGACTGACTCGACTGTTATTAATCACACTTCAGAGGTGAGGCATTTGAAGTATGACCCTCGCATAGCTGGACCCCTCTAGCAGCCCCTGGGACCTTGGTTTTCTTATCCCCTCTTTTGCAAGATTGAGGCATGTACCTCACATCCTCTTTCATCCTCCTAGTTGCTGTGGGGCCTCTCCGGTGGCCTTGCACATAGGGCAGTGCTCAAAGCACGGGCACCCGGCACTTTCTCGACCTGGGCAGTGCCTTTGGGAGAGGCAGGCCTTTAGGGGGCAGCTGGTGACCCTAAGACACTCTGGGTAGAGACCTAGGGTCTGGGGCTGCCCTGGCCATGGGTTGCCAGTTCTTCTCTGATGTCTCTGCCCACAGGTCCTGGAGGTCTGCAGTCTGGGCTGCTATTGAGATGGGAGGGGACTCTGGGGCAAGCTCACAGGGTTTGGAGGTGAGGGGTCCTTGGTACTAATGTGGCCAAATGCTTCTTAAGAGGAAGATCATTTGCATGTGGGTTTGGATGGTTGTCCCAGGGGAGTTCAGGGCAGGAGGTCCAGACCTGGGGCAGTCAGCCTACTGCTGTGCTTGCTCGTGACCTATGGATCAGTGAGACTCAACACTTTGATCACAGTGAGAGGAAGCAGTCTTGAGAATGGGGTCACCAGGTGGACAGATGGAACGCACAGCCAAGACAGATGAGGCCCAGGCCTGTCCTGGCCACTGTGCCTCATAGGAGCCTGGGGAGAGTGGCAAGAAGGAGGGAGCTAGCCCTTCCATAATCACATGAGCCAATTCCTGACAATTAATCTCTTTCTCTATGGAGATGCGTCGGATCAGGAGAGACCCGACTAGCCCTGTTTGCTTCCTGCCAGAGCCCGACCTGACTCCAGGATCTGTGTCCCCAGGCAGGCAGAGACAGGCTCTGCACCCAGTGTACCAAGATGAACTCAAAACCTTGCTTTGA